TACTGTGATAGATATGTATGGAGACATCTGAGGCTCTTCATTGGACACGACAACTATCTCAGATTATATTACTTTATTTTTTTACAAAGTTTACAAAAATAGTAAAAAATATGTCTTACACACATATATAATGATAAATTCCTATATTAAATAAGAATAAAATAGAATGAAAATAACTATGTCAAGAAGGGGACGTAATGTACAGGAGTGGCCTATGTAAGATGTGTTACGTCAAACCAGGCTAGAGGTCTTTGCCATTTTACCCCACGGATAATGGCTGTCATGGGAATGGTATTTCCTGCTTGGCATCTTCTTTTTCCTTATTGCCATTTTGACATCTTAAACCTTTCTAGATATCTATTACATTATGTATTTCTTCCCTTATTTTATAATACAGTCCAACTCTCTTCGAGATAGCGTGCCTTACATAACAATTTCCACGAAATAACAAAATTATTCGTTAGTTTTAACTGATATATTAGCATAATTAGTGATTAATTTCTTTGATATAACGATCATAATTATCTTTATTTCTTTTGTAATTCTGAATTATGCTAAATAGTGGATTATTATGGTCATTTATTATGCACTCATAGATAAAACTTAAGGAAGTGCAAAATATAATATTGCCGTGTTCTTTTGAAGAAGACAGAGGCGATTTTGTTCACACTTGGTTATCTCGTGTGTCTTCAATAAAGGTCACTGTGTATCAAATATCTTTCAGGGTTATTGTCTGAATCCCGATATACATGCTAAAATGTACAACTTCTTTAAGTTTTGTCCATGAGTATATTGTTCACACTTGGTTATCTCGTGTATCTTCAATAAAGGTCACTGTGTATCAAATATCTTTCAGGGTTATAATCCCGATATACATGCTAAAAGGTACAACTTCTTTAAGTTTTGTCCATGAGTGTATATTGTTCACACTTGGTTATCTCGTGTATCTTCAATAAAGGTCAATGTGTATCAAATATCTTTCAAAGTTATTGTCTAAATCCCGATATACGAGGTGTGTTAAAAAAGTATCGCGACTTTTGAATTTTCGCGGGTTACGTATATTCGAATTTCGATCCTTTTGTGGCTTTATGTTGGTACTCATGTCTCTCACTTATGCCGACAAGCTCGGCCATTTTGAATGTTCACTTAATTGTTGACAGCTGCTTTGCTTGCAGGTGTTTTGGTTCGTCTTCGATTTTTACCTATTAAAAAAAAAATGGATCAAAGAACCTGTATCAAATTTTGTGTGAAAAACGAAATTAAGTGCGCGGATGCATTCCGAATGTTGACTGTGGCATACGGAGAAGCTACCTTGGACCGAAGTAACGTTTATCGGTGGTACAAAATGTTCTCAGAAGGCCGAGAAGATGTGAACGACGAAGAGCGTACCGGACGCCTGAGCACTTCAACAACAGACGAAAAAATTAATGAAGTGGAGAAAATGATATTGGCCAATCGTCGAATCACCGTTAGAGAAGTTGCTGAGGACCTAAACATATCGATTGGCTCGTGCCATTCGATTTTTATCAATGATTTGGGCATGAGACGGGTCGCCGCGAAATTCGTACCAAAATTGCTCAATTGCGACCAAAAAAAGCATCGCATGAAAATTGCTAATGAGATGTTGGACTCTGTCCGCGACGACTCAAATTTGCTCCAGAGGGTCATAACTGGTGACGAAGCGTGGGTTTATGGTTATGACGTGGAAACCAAAGCTCAATCATCTCAATGGAAGCTGCCGCACGAACCAAGACCGAAAAAAGCGCGACAAGTTCGGTCGAATGTGAAAGTTTTGCTGACAGTTTTCTTCGATTGCAGGGGCGTGGTGCATCATGAGTTCTTGCCACAGGGTAGAACGGTCAATAAGGAATATTACCTGCAAGTCATGCGCAATTTGCGCGAAGCAATCCGTCAGAAACGCCCGGATTTGTGGAAAAACAAAAATTGGCTTTTGCACCACGATAACGCCCCGGCTCACACATCGTTGCTTGTGCGCGACTTTTTGGCCAAAAACAACACACTAATGATGCCGCAGCCACCGTATTCCCCAGATCTGGCCCCCTGTGACTTTTTCTTGTTCCCTAAACTGAAGAGGCCCATGAAAGGACGACGTTACGCTACGCTTGACGAGATAAAGACGGCATCGAAGGAGGAGCTGAAAAAGATTTTTTAAAATGATTTTTTGAAGTGCTTCGAAGATTGGAAAAACCGTTGGCACAAGTGTATAATATCTCATGGGGATTACTTTGAAGGGGACAAAATAGGTATTCATGAATAAATAAATAATTTTTGAAAAAACACAAAAGTCGCGATACTTTTTGAACACACCTCGTACATGCTAAAAGGTACCACTTTCTTAAGTTTTGTCCATGAGTGTATATTGTTCACACTTGGTTATCTCTGTGTCTTCAATAAAGGTCACTGTGTATCAAATATCTTTCAGGGTTATAATCCCGATATACATGCTAAAAGGCACAAATTCTTTAAGTTTTGTCCATGAGTGTGTTAATTATTCATATTTTACTCTTATAATTTCGCATTACTCTCTACTATTTTATCTTGGTTATAGTTTATTTAATTTCATATTTAGGTGTTCCCGAAATGGATTATAAGAGGGTAAGCGCTATATTAAGTTATAAAAAGGTAGTTCTTCGATTTATGGATAAGCCACGATCCAAAAACTTAACAATGAATTGGCTCATCAGTGGTGTACCTTCCCAACGCTTTCGCCAATTTAATCTACCAGACCGCTTCTTTTAGGGATCTAATACTGTAAAACGAAAATTGCAATTATACCGCGAATGTTTCTTCCAAACAAAAATCGAAATTTATTTCAAAGAGAAATAGCGATTATTTCTAACTTTAAGGATGAAGTATGATAAAATGAATTGTGAAGAGTAATGACAAACGGAAAAATAAAAGTGTCCAGGGATGGGAAACGAACCCACTGTGTTCCGCTTACCGGGCAGATGCCATGTCCACTAGGCTACCCTGGACATATTTTTCCGTTCGTAAATATTATATAAAGTAATTAAAGTTAGAAATAATCGCTATTTCTCTTTGAAATAAATTTCGATTTTTGTTTGGAAGAAACATTCGCGGTATAATTGCAATTTTCGTTTTACAATCATCAGCCGCGTTATATTGTATCTAATACTGTATTGGATCATTCTGAGTAAGTGTAAAAACGAACTGCTTTTACACTTGTGTATACATGTGGTGCATTTACAGTAAAAAAAACCAGTCGCTTACTTCTACCCACCATGATTATCATGGCCTGTACCACGTTACTAGGGATAAGCAAAAAAAAAATCTGATTATATATTCTTCACTGAAAGGTGGAATCTCAGAAATGATATTTAAACAAACTATGGACATTCAGAACAGTAGAATTACATATAATATATTAAATTTCTATTAAATATGTAAATATTTCTTTTTTTTTAAACTATTGAATAGGATTAAATAAAGATGTTTTAAATTGTAATTTGTCAACCATTTGAGAATAGTAGAAATCTATAGAGAAAATACATCTAGCGTGGTTTATCAGGTGAAATAAAATGATTAGAAAAGCATAGTGTAAAGATATTTTGACTATATTACAAATTATGGTAAAAAAGTTTGTTCCAGAAATGGCATTTGTTGAAGAAGAGGTATAGAAAGTGATGAGTTTAATTTTGTGACCGCTGGCTGTGATTGAAGTGATGATTGCTTGTTAAAAAGATGTTTTGATTGAAAATCTGAAGATAACTCTTTCTCCTTGTTAATATCATATTCCTATTCTTTACGGCCTAAAATTATTGTAAATATGTATAGACAAATGTAAAGGCATACATGTATAACAGCGCAAGTGTCCCTAGGGGAACATAGCGCTTTAAATTAAAATAAATAAATAAAAATAAATAAAAAGATAACGTTTATAGCCCCATCTATCTGAGAAAATGTGAAATAATAATTATAATTATGTTTCTTTTGGGACAAAGAAAAATAATTTTTGATAAACCAGTGTAATGTAATAAGGTTTATGCAAAAATGCTTACGTAATATTTTTTGCTGTATTTATCCCAATACCAAAAAAAAAAAAAAAAAAAGGCTGTCACGCAAAAACCATGGGTGATGGAAAAATTCTGATTAGATTTTTGAGTTCAGCATGAAAAGTTACACTAGAAATACCATCAGGTTCTTTTGGGCAAAAATGTTGTTGACCAGTGTTATTAGTGCTGATTATTTTTGGTTGTATTTAAAAAAAAAAAAGACAAATTTTCTACAACCATTAAACAAAAGGATGAAATTATATATACATTGAGGTGAGTTTGGGTCATTAGTGGTAAACCCTCTCAGCTGTTTTGTCAATTTGATCTTTCAGATCGCTACAATTTTTGTAAAGTTGGGAGTCGGTGTATGAGTGCGTAAAACCTTTGATTCCCAACAGCCATGAACTGGGATCTAATCCCGCATTGGACACTTGAAAAAATATATATATATTGTATAGTTCAGACAATAACTCGGAAAGATATTTGATACACAATGATCTTTATTGAAGACACACGAGAAGTGTGAACAAATGGCAAGTAATTGCAAGTGTCAACAAGTACACAGATGTCAACATGTTTGGTTCTAGATGTTTATGTGTGTAGGAGCTATTTTTACTTTGTATTTTTGTCACTAATACACGTACGTGCTGATATGAATGGAGAATGTATTTTTAGATTAGTGTGTGTTTACAATAGTTTACAAGAATTGCGGTCAAATATACAAAAATCAACTAAAATGGTAATTCGATAAAAATAATCCCTTGTAACAATATTAAGGTAGAAATATTGAGCCTCCATGGTTAGGTTTCTTTTACAATTTTTTTATTCACAAATCTCTCTCTAGCTTTCGGGCATGGTGGCTCTCCTACAGGAGAAAAACACGATACAATAAAATCAAATATACAATATTGATATAATGATATTGATAATGATAGTGAAGAGTAATAATAAACGGAAAAATAAAGTGTCCAGGGATGGGAATCGAACCCACAGTGTTCCGCTTACCGGGCAGATGCTATGTCCACTAGGCTGCCCGGTAAGCGGAACACTGTGGGTTCGATTCCCATCCCTGGACACTTTATTTTTCCGTTTATCATTACTCTTCACAATTCATCCTTTCATACTTCATTCCTAAGGTTAGAAATAATCGTTGTTTCTCCATAAAATAAATTTCGATTTTTCGTTTAAAAGAAACACATGCGGGATAATTTTCAAATATTTTTCAATGTTAAAAGATAATTTTAAAGGTTGGTACCATATGTGAAAGTATAGATGAGCAGACGAGAGGTGAAACAATCGCCTGCCAGATCATTTCTATCCCATTGAGCAATTCATTATCATTCAGAAGAAAGTTCATTAAACTTTCATGATGAATATTTAGCAGCAGCAGATTGAACTTTCGGCTGCATGTTGATCATCTTCACCTTAAACTCACCTCATACTACATCATATGCTAATTTAACATAAGGTTATTCCAAAAGTTCGTAAACATATTATGATTTATATTTTGCAAGTGTTTACGAACTTTTGGGACAACCTTGTAATTCTGAAACTTGGCCCAACTGCTGATTGGCCACCCTTGATATACAACATTAGAGATTAAATAATTCTTCTATAATAATATTTCTGTTATAATTTTACCAAGGTTACCAATATTACCAAGGTTTATCCTAAATGTTCGTAAACATATTATCATTTATATTTTGCAAGTGTTTACGAACTTTTGGGACAACCTTGTAATTCTGAAACTTGGCTCACCTTCTGATTGGCCACCCTTGATATAGAACATCAGAGATTAAATCATTCTTCTATAAGAATTCTGTTATAATTTTACGAAGGTTAATCCCAAAAGTTCGTAAACACTTGCAAAATATAAATCATAATATGTTTACGAACTTTTGGAACAACCTTATAATTCTGAAACCAGGCCCACCTGCTGATTGGCCACCCTTAAAATAGAACATTATAGATTAAACCATTCTCCTATAAGAATTCTGTTATACTTTTACTAAGGTTACTAATATTACCAAGGTTGTCCCAAAAGTTCGTAAACACTTGCAAAATATAAATCGTAATATGTTTACGAACTTTTGGGACAACCTTATAAATCTGTTTTCAACACATCCATATCTCCCATGAGCGACCATCTAATGAGAGACCACACCCTTGTTAAATAAAATATTACCACGTGGAAAATTATAGAAGACAAACTTTTGAATGACACAGCAATTTATTTAAGGCAAGAACAAAATATAAAATTTCAAAAAAAAAACAAATTTCTGGAGACGAGTCTTTTTTTATTGTATTCAAATAGTCTCAAGCTTTCGGGCATCTGCCCTTCAACAGGAGAACATGGGTGAACAACAGTCTTTGATTTCCAGACTTTGGTCTGGTCATCTACAGACAATGACTTTCCAGAATGGTTGCAAGGTTTTCCCACTATGTACTAAGTGCAATTCTCAACCTGCAACCCCAAAATATATTATTGACTGTATTAACTCATTCATTGATGAGATCTACTCTTCCCCGGCAGACACCATCAACAAGCTTTAAAAGCTTGACACCCTAATATGATTGAGTGGAGATAAGAAAGAAGAAGAAGAAGAGAAGAACATATAGGCATTAGGTGGAGTTTTATTCGTTTTATATATGTTCTCTTGTAGAAGAGCAGAGATACCCGAAAGCTTGAGACTATTTGAATATAATAAAAAGAAACTCATCTCCACTAACCTTTTTTAATTCTTTAATTAGTGTTCAGGAGATTTAAATCAATTAATATTAATTAATATAAAAAGGTAAAATTGAGCAAAGGATACGTAAAAAATATACCAACAACGCGTTTCTTCAATCCAATAGCACATGCTATCCAGACACTAACAGAACACTCAGACTAAGAACTGGCCATATAAAAACCTTAAAATAACAAAATGAACAAAAAAAAACTTCAATAACTACTTGAAATGCAATAGTGCGAAAGCTTCTCCGGAACATATCATGCTCAGAACTGACAATAGAAGACCTATTTTCCAGGCCTATAACTACAATCGCAAAATTGGAGAGGAGTGGACTTCAGGAATTGGTTTAACCATGTAGATAAGCAACACCACCACACACTAACTCTATAAAGAGTCGAGATTAAAACTATTTATTTATAACTTAAATATTATTTATATAAAATGAAAGGATTTAAAAGCACGAATGTTTCTTTTATACATAATACAAACTTCTACTGTCCTTACTGCGATGAAAAAATATATTGGGAGGGTTTGGCTCGTCAGTGGTGAACCTTCTCAGCGGTTTCGCCAATTTAATCCACATTGTATTATGTATAAAAGAAGCATTCGTGCTTTTAAATCCTTTCATTTTATATGTATATATGGCGCGTTATTGCTTTGTGTTATTGTGTTTTCAAAATTATCGTTTCTTTAGATATTTATTGCATTTTAATAAATTTTACACTCCTCCATCTCCAAAAGTAAGCAATAAACCTAAAATGAAAAACAAAAAGATTTGTGAAATTTATATGGTTACAAAACGAAGCATACGACTTTGAAACAGTATGTAAATAAGAAAATAGACCAATATGAAATAAGGTAACAATTTAATATGCAAATCAGCTATCCTATATTTAAGCTCTCTTTTTTCCTTTGTGTGTTGGTATAAAACTTACCTATTTTTCTATAATAACAAGATACAGTTAAACCTGTCTATATCGCCCCTTCTTGGGACTCACCAAAATAGGGTGTTATAGAGAGGGGATTCTATAGACAGGTCACTTTTAATGTAAAATGTTTACATTTCAATGTTTAAAATCGGGCGCTATAGAGAAGAAGGTGCAATTTAGAGGGGGCGCTATAGACAGGTTTAACTGTATTTTTATTGAAAAATTTCGTCGTGCATAGACTAATCTTAGAGTGAACGAGCTGGTAGAGGGGCTAGCCCAAATCTATGGCCAAAATATAGATGACAATTTTGCCGGGAGGATATTGATATGTAAAAATAAAGGTCACCTCTCCCGTCAAAATAGACGCTAAAACTAAGAGCCATCTATTGACTGTCTACACAAACTAACGGACTTAGGTCGGTGACAAAGCCACAACACCAGCTTTAGCAAACTGAGAAACGTCCACCTAGAGACCATGGTTTCAGACTAATGGCCCTCGTCAGGTTTTGACGTTTATTTTGACGGGAGAGGCGACCTATGCTTCTATGGATCAATTTCCTCTCGGAAAATTTTCCATCATCAGCATTCATTAACATACAAAAAAGTCTAGTATAGTTTAAATAAAGTGATTGAAGAACTGAAAATCTTTGTTTTGACTAAAAGACTGTGACTTGAAAGCTAGCATATTTTTAAATATAAGAAATGATAACCAAAATTTTTGTCTAATTTCTGTATTGTGAACAATTATACCGGCACTTTTAATACGTACATCTTACTAAATAATATTTGTTTCACAAAGTTAGGTATGTTCGATAACTCAACTGCATTCATTAACACAAAAAAGTCTAGAAAGGTATGAATAAGTTGAAAAAATTGATAATCTTTGTTTTGATCAATAAACTGTGGGTTGAAAGCTAGCATATTTTTGAATAAAAGAACTGATTCGTAAAAAAAAAAACTGCCCAAAATTATTGTATTCAACAATTTTACCGGCGCTCATACTAAATAAATCGTTGTTTCACAAAGTTGGTCATTGTTTGAAGGCTATACAGTATTCATTAACACACAAAAAAAGATAGTAAGGTTTGAAATAAGTTGATAATCTTTGTGTTTGACAAGGTCCTAGAGAGTCCGGCGCTCATACTAAAAAATCGTTGTTTCAAAAAGTTGGCCATTGTTTTACGACTACAGTATTCATTAACACACACAAAAAGATAGTAAGGTTTGAATAAGTTGAAAGAACTGATGATCTTTGTGTTTGACAAGGTCCTAGAGAGTCCGGCGCTCATACTAAAAAAATCGTTGTTTCACAAAGTTGCTCATTGTTTTACGACTATACCGTATTCATTAACACACAAAAGAGTCTAGAAAGGTTTGAAAATGTTGAAAGAACTGATAATCTTTGTGTTTGACAAGGTCCTAGAGAGTCCGGCGCTCATACTAAAAAATCGTTGTTTCACAAAGTTGCTCATTGTTTTACGACTATACAGTATTTACTAACACACAAAAAAAGTCTAGAAAGGTTTGAAAAAGTTGAAAGAACTGATAATCTTTGTGTTTGACAAGGTCCTAGAGAGTCCAGGAAGGTTCTAATTAGATCCCTCTTTGTGCAGATCTCTCAAGTCAGGTCCAAGCTAGGCCCAAGCGAAGAATTTTGGGGCATGCAGCGAGCGAGCCAAGTAAGGGAAGGTCGTTGATGGGGTTGAGGCGTCCTTTTTGGGAAGATGATTCTAGAATGATAAATGGCTACCTTCTCTTCTTTCACCCTTTTTTTTTGCACTCTTGATGTACTAACGCATGTTGGGCCAAAAAAAAAACTTTCAATCTGTTTTATCATCACTTCTTAAGAATGCCCTTGATGGTTCTTTTGAGTTACAGACGGTATCGTTGATGAATAGGACAAATAATTTATGGATTGACTGTTTGTGGTTGAGTTTTCTTGAGAGTATCAATATAATCTTCAATATCTTTTGAATCAATAAGGAACGATGGGATGCCCTCTTTATCATTGAATATGGAAGAATTAAGGATCAATTAAGAGATTCGGTCAAACTTTGGTGTATATACCTCTTTTACAGGTTCATCAAATGCCGAAAAGTATTGTCGTTTAAAAGTCAGTTTTAGAATTAATGTTTGATTTATATTTTATTAGGATGAATCAAGGTTTATTCCTATTGTAAGGTTTAGTTTTGTGGTCGGAAATCATTGTTGTTCTTATATAAATATGTGCTCGAAGATGTTAGAAAAGCTCTTATATAATACTTCGTTTTTAAACGACGTGGTTCTTTTATAGATTCTACTTAGCTTTCGGGCTGATAATACCTTCATCAGGCATTGTAACAATATACACTCGTGGACAAAACTTAAGGAAGGGGAAAGTC